GTAATTTAGAGTAAGAAGCTTGAAATATCAAGAAAAAAAAGAAACTAGTTCAAGTTCCTGAGTACTAGGGGAATTATAAATGTGAAAACTAAAAAACATTTCATGTCTTTTTGCTTGGCAAAAATTAAATTGTCACGTTTTGATAAAAATGTAGAGAAAATGGACTTACCTTGCAGGTAGGTGAATAAGTACAGACAAACGTTAGGAGAGCAATGAGCGTATCTAGCAAGACTAGCAAGGCCTCTATGCATATAGAGGAGCTTCCTTTCACAGAATATGCATGGAGACACATACAGGAGTACTACTGCAGCACGGTTTGAAATATGAAGCCGGGCTCTGTGGCTCAGCCTGTAATCCCGCGCCTTTGGGAGGCTGAGGTGAGTGGATTGCCTGAGCCCGCGGGTTCGAGACCCGCCTGGGCAGCGAGACCTCATCTCTACAATAAATCAAAAAATCATAGCCGGGCTCGGTGGCTCAGCCTGTAATCCCATGCCTTTGGGAGGCTGAGGTGAGTGGATTGCCTGAGCCTGTGGGTTCGAGACCCGCCTGGGCAGCGAGACCTCATCTCTACAATAAATCAAAAAATCAGCCGGGTGTGGTAGCGCATGCCTGTAATTCCAGCTACTTGGAAGGCTGAGGCGGAAGGATCGCCGGAGCCCAGCAGATCGAGGCTGTGGTGGCCGGGAACGGACAGAGTGAGACTCCAACTCAAAAAAAAATCAGCCAGGCGTGGTAGCGCATGCCTCTAATTCCGGCTACTGGGAAGGCTGAGGCGGAAGGATCGCTGGAGCCCAGCAGGTGAGGCTGCGGTGACCGGGAGCAGCCACGGCACTCCACAACTCAAAAAAAAAAGAAAAAGAAAAAGTAACTTTGAAACAACGAATCTGTTTCTCATTCCACATTTCTGCTCTCTTCAGCTCTTTTTTGCCTATAAAACCAAGATCCTCTGCTCATAGCTCATTGGAAATCTCATTGTTAATCTCATTCTTATGGAATGAGGTGTTGCCAGATGCTAGAACTACAAATAAAAGCCAATGCGAATCTTTCAATTTGTTTTAATTTTGCCATTTGCTACCAAACACCCCTAACTCCCCATGATATGGATGACTAAATGCCCATCAGTTTCAGTTTAGGCTTGCTCGTTAGCCTGCCATCCTCCTAGATAAGATACCCCATCACTGAACTGTCCCTGCTTCCTGAATGCCCATCCTCTTGAGCAATTCATCCCACCCAGTTCCACAGAGTCTTCTCAGAATCACACAACCAAAGCCCAAAACCTTTACGTGTTTTCTAATACCCTCTTTCTAGGACACCCTATGGTTCCCCACAGTGCATGCTCTCTCTCCCTGTGAGTAACAAACCTAACTTGTTGAAGTGCAGATATTCCTACTGGTGGTCTTTGGCTGGAGGGTATTGACAAATAGTTCTAAGAGCTTTACATTTGTGTTCCCACTGAAGTCTACGCCTGCCCCTCTTTGGTAGATATTACTGTAATTATACCTTTTGCAGATGAAGAAGCAAAGAAAGTTAAACATAATCTCCGACATCGAATAGCTAGTAACTTGCAGGATAAAATTTGCATCTGGGTCTGTCATCAGAACAGAAGGAACATCTTGTAGTTCTCCTGACCTGTTCAGGAAGTTTCCCTAAATATTACACAGTCTTTGAGGACAGAGTCTGGCACAGCAAAATAAATAAATAAATAAAATTAAAGAAATAAAAAGCTGTAGCATGAACACTGGCTTGGAATTAAGGCGTAGTTTTGGAATCTCTGTGCTCATCAGTTCAGAGTACCTAGTGTTATGACCGAGTAAGCAAGAAGAAGCTACACCAGCAAGTTGAGTTTAATTAATTATGAATTTATTAAATGCGCGGGCGAAGAGTCGGAACGAAAACTCTTGACAAATTGGCGCAGTTTGTAACAAGGTTTTATAGGTAAAATTGGCAGCATTGGCTACACAGCAACTTAGCGACCATAGCAACTATTAACTAACAACTTGGCAACCAAAATGGGAACTTCGATTGTTAGGGAGCTTTGATTACTTTCATGTCCTAGGCATAGCCAAGTGCCCAGAAAGTCCTGAGTTCTGCCACTAAGATATTGTTTAAGGTAGTTACCTAGAGACAAGGATGAAGACTCATTATACAATGGAGTTACCTTGGTTAGGTCACTAACAGAATATAAGAACAAACTATGAAAATGTCAAAGCGTAACATTTGATTTCAGTTAACAAAGCATACAATCACATGGAGCTTATGGCGAAGGAGTTCTATAATGGTCAGCAGGCAACAGTCAGCATAACATGCCCAAAGGAGACAAAGCTGGGGGTCTGTGGTCATGGGAACATCACTGTAATCACACGTAGGTATTGATTCTTAGGTCAGGCAGGTAACTAAGATGAAAGTTTTAAACAAAATGGAGTAAGCTGGTTAATATTATTATTTTGCTAGCAATTTGATTTTATTAACTGATTTAGCTCATTTCACTAGTGTATTTTGTACCGAAAATCAATAGTGTATGTTTACCAGTCTTGGTGCACAACACCTCCATATAGGCAGATGATAGATATCTTAAATAAATAGTTCAAAGGAAAAGCTGACTTTCTTTTTTCTTTTTTGGAGTCTCACTGTCACCCAGGTTGGTGATTCTGTCACTCAGTCTTCCAAGTAGCTGGAACCACAGGAGCACGCTACCACGTGGGGCTAATTTTTGATTTTTTGTAGTAGACGCTAAGGTCTCACCAAGTTGCCTGGGCTAGTCTTCCAACCTGCAGGTTCAGGCAATCCACTCGCCTCGGCCTCCCAAAGTGATGGGATTACAGGCTGAGCCACCGAGCACGGCCGGAAAATCTGACTTTCAAGGGGGAAAAAATGTACACCCCCGTGTGAGCAACAGTGTGAGCAAGCCTTGTAGCTGGAACTTGGTTATGCACAACAAACTCTTTTGCACTGTTTTAGCTCAAGCTCCTTCATTACATGCTCTTGACCCCTCTTGGTCTTATAACTGCCTGGGGTGTCTTTTATCAGCATGCCTGCCACTCTTTTCTACCTAGTGAAAACCTGTGTACGCGTCCTTTTTTTGACTTTCCAGATCTGCTCTTCGGATTTAGTATCTCAAGGAACTTTTACAACTGTTCGAACACGCACATTGCTTGTGTTTGCGAGCCACTTTAGACCGTGCGCTGCTGCAGGGGGCGACCCCTCTGCACCCTAGGGCGGCCACTCCGGCGTTCAGCAGGCGAGGGGACCGCGGCAGCCTCCAGTCGATCACCCTCCAAGCACAGAGCCTACAACTGGGGCGGCCCGAGAGCGCCGACGGTCGGCAGATGATGGCCCATTCCAGCACTGATCCAATCGTGGCGCAACGTAGTCTTGCCAGCTTCCAGGTTGGCTAGAACCCGTTCTCCAAATTCCAAATACACTCAAGCCAACGACTTCCTGGCGGATTCTCGGCGCGTCTCCAGGTCTGACCCCGCCCCGAGCCCTCAAGGCGAGCTGCCCCGACGCCCGAAGGGTGAGGGGCGAAATGGACAGGCGGCGCAGCCAATCATGTTTCAGCGTGCCCGGAACGGGCGGTGTCCTGGCGTGTCCCCGCCCCCGCCGTGGCGCGGGATTGGCGGATCCGCGGCGGGCCCGAGTGGCGGGAGTTTTCGGAAGTGCGGGCTGCGGCCGGCTTCCCAGACCCGCCTGGACTGCGCCGGGCTGCGTGGGCTCACCGCGGATCCCTGCGCTTGTGCCTGTAGCTCGCTCGGTGGCCGCCTTCTTACCACGACCCAGAACTGCGGGGCTGATGGAGCGGCATCGGCCGCGGTTGCATCCCCCGGCGCGCGGCTCGGCGGCCGGCGCCCCCCACCCCGCCTCGGTCTCGCTGCGCGGCGGCCGGGACAGCAAGATGCAGCGCAAGAAGGGGCCCCCGCACCCTCCGCCGTCCGAAGGGCCCGAGGAGCCTGGGGAGAAACGTCCCAAGTTTGTAAGTGTCGCCTGGAGATGGGTTGAGTTACCTCCCACCCCGCCGAGGGGCTGACGGCCGAAGGGGCCCACGGGCACGGGGGGCGTCCCGAGTTGTCAGTCGTCGTGGACTGACAGTGACAGGGTCCGATTCGATTCGGATCCTGTGGCAAATGCGCTGATCTTCGGGTTGCCCCAATTTCTTAGGGCTGGCGTGAAAAGCAGTTCTCATTTATGTGTATTGACGTCACCTGGGTGGACGTTGCATTTTTTTAAGTCGGATTCTCCTTCCCCCCCGTGTAAAAACGGAGTGTAATACATGCGCCAGTGAACTTTCAGTTCGGTGAAGTTGTTTTTCTTCTTCATATTTTAATCCACTATGAAGTTTTATAGTCGATGTAAGAAATTTTAAAGTAGATGTAATCACCAATTTGAAACAGCTCTTTTTTAAAAACTGGCCTGGCGAGACCTTGTCTCTACAGTAAATAAGAAAATTAGCCGGGTGTGGCGGCGCGCGTCTGTGGTTCCGGCTACTTGGAAGGCCGAGGCGGAAGGATCGCCTGGGCTCAGCAGGTGAGGCTGCGGTGGTCGTGAGCGTGGCACTGCATTCCAGCCTGGGCGACAGAGTGAGACCCCTACTCAAAAAAAAAAAAAAAAAAAAAAAAAAAAAAAAAAAATTCCGGCGAGCTGTGTGGTCACTGCTAAAGAATGTTTCGTTTGGAAAGAAGCCTTAACTATTCGAAACCTGCTCTTCTGGTTTGCTTTTCTTACTAACACTTAAGGGAAGTGTCACGATTAGCACTTTGTAAGTCTTTTTGTTGATAGTGAGAGAATAGACAGTTATGATTGTTTTATTTGCTCCATATCCCTGTGTGTAAGACGCACAGAGGATTGATGCATTTGGGATGAGAACAACAGAATTGCAATGTAGTGCTGATTCCTCCATTTTACTTAGGATGATCAATGGAGAAACTTTATTTTTTAGTGATAGGACTGACTTTGCCTTCTGTAGAGAAGTAAAAGTTATGAGGGATTAAAAAAAATTCAGGGAATAATGGTGGGTGATCCAGTTGCTAAGTATAATACTTGAATACAACTGGGAGGAGAGCTATAAGATATATCAGAAGAGTGGAAATGAGGAACAACATTGATTAACTATGTTAAATTAAGTATCAAATGGCCATCTAAATAGTGACATTTTGAAGGAGCAATATGAACTTGATGATTGGTATCTTGACAGAGCTGAAGAATGAATTAGAGTTAACCTGGCAAAGAGTGCACCTCATGTGAGAAAAATCTGCTGGAGCAATGACTTACCTTCCTTGTACAGTCTCCTGTTTGGGTTAATAATCTCATTTCCTTTGGTCGTTATTCCTGTGGTCCAGAATATAGGAGGTGTTGTTTTCTGTGACTCATTCTCAGCAAGGTATCTTGAAAATGGGACCTAAATTAATATTTTGTTTAGTTTCATTGAAGGATATATCAGGTGATTTGGTTTCTAATATCTGTGCTATTTCTCATTCTTACATTTATGTCATAGTGACCACCTATCTAAAAGATTAACACTTTTAAGCTTTAAAGGTAATAAACACCTCTAGAATAGTGTGTTTTTGGGTGAGGTCTCATTTGAATCATTTAGAAGTGATTTGGACTTGGCAATCTTTGAAACTAATTTAGATTCTTACATGGTAATTTCTTTAATTCACTAATTCTGTCATCAGCTCTGTCTACTATTTAATTTTTTCCAAATATTTGATTTTTAGCAATAACTTTTTATTTTGATAAGTTTCATTTGCGGCTTTTGAAATCTGCCTGAGTGTTCTTGATAATTTCTTTTCCTTATTCATTTATTTAGACATTTCTTACTTGGCTGTTATTCTTTGACAGTTGTGGTATGTGCAACCGTTGGACTGTCTACGTTGATTTGAGTTCATGGTGGCCTACTCTCTCCTCTGTATTTGTTAATCTTTGTAAGCTCATTGCTTTATTTATCTTGTAGGATTCCAGGAGACCTAAACTGGGCATGCTTTTCTTTGGAGATAGTTGAGAATCTGTTTCTGCCAAGAGTCTAGGCGTGCTTAGCTCCCTGCTGAGCTCGGAATCTTGAGAGGCTGAGTTCCTGGCTCAGCTCTACCCCTTTCCTGCCCTGAGGCTCGGTAGCCCAGCCTCAAGGCTGCCTCCTGAGCTGCTCTTTCCAGTTTGCCTGCCTCTCTCTGCCCTTGGTCCGACACCAATCATCTTGCTTTTGTGATGGAGAGTGATCTTTGAGACCTTCAAAGATCCCAGCAATGCCTCAAAATGATTGTTCTGTGGTTTCCTCTGCTGTATTTCTGGATGTCAAGTCAGTCCTTGCTTTTTCCTTGATAGGGATGAAGTGCTGTTATCCTCAGTCTCTTCAGTTTACCTAGTCATCATCTGAGCCTGAGGCAGCTGCTTTTGACTGGAACAAGTAATTTAGGTTGGTGATATGACAGCAATAGGAAAAATTTAGATGTTCAGCGATTTGTGTTTTGCATACAAAGCTGAAAGCTGGTAGTAGAATGGAGTGGTAAACTGGTCACTCTCTCCTGCTTTGGTTTAAAGAAAGCAGGAACTTAACAAAAAAGCCTCTGAAATCCTGTTTTACTTTGAGCTTTGATAATGCAAACAAAATCTTGTTTTCTATTGAACGCATAGTTGGGGCTTCAAGTCATTTGTAAATTGTGTAAAAAAGTTTGTAGCATAAACCCCTACCCATAGAGAAGTATAAATAGTAGAAATTGATCTGTTATAATTGTGAGATACTTTGGCTGCACTATGAATCAACTGATTTTGGGCTGTTTTGGTTTCTGTAGAAAATATAACAAGCAAGGAATATTGAAATTCTCTTGGGGATGGACTGCAGCTGGAGGAGATAGAGCACAAGATATCTGGGTGGAGGCTTTGTGAAGGAGTTGAAATTCCATAGGATCATTAAACATGGAACTTACCCTAGGCCACACCCTCAGCACATTGGCCTGAGCCCCATTTCCATTCTAGAACAGGATGGAACAGTTGTCTCATTGTGAAAAGCCTTTCAGTAATACCTCCTTCCCATTGCTCTTAGCAGTGCAGAGTACACCCATTGGTGGCCATCAGATGTGAACTGAGCAGGTCACGTGGCTCCTTGGAGAAGTGTCCGTCTCTAGGATGTGGGTCAGTACTTTGAGAGGGCCTGGAAATTGGTGGTCCAAGTTGATCAAAGGGTCCTTTAAAAGTTCAGACTTCAGTCTAAATCTTGCATCTGATAGTTTCCATTGAGTTGATTGTTAATTATTTAATTATGCCATTGTAGTACCTTCAATTTTGGTTGGGAGACTTTTCACCTTGTTTGTTAGTATCTGCATATCTACCATGTTTGGGCTTGTTGGTAATAACAACCTTCATGAGTTAGCTAAGCACCATTCCACGTATTTTATAAATATCAATTCCTTTAAACATTTTACATCTACCCTATGAGGTAATTAGTATTCACTTTGTTAGCCATTTGAGGAAACTGAGATATGCAAAGATTAAGCTGTGTGAGGTCACCCAGCTCCAGTTGGTAAAATTGAGACTTGAAACTAGTCAAGCTGGCCCAGGGTCCACATCCTTAATCACTGGCTGCTGGAAGTTTTAATCTTTACTGCTTCTTTTCTCACCCTGGAACCATTAGCAATAATTAGAGATGCATTTAATGCATATAGCATTAGTGATTTTCTGATTATAGGCATCTGTGAGGTGGGAAGAGTCATAACGTTGGAGAACTTCTGTTTATTGTACAGGTAGCAGAAACTGCTGAAAATCAGGGAAGGGGAGCTGAAATCACACGACTTGATGAGATCAGGACTTGCTTGCTTAATTGCTTTGGGTTATTTGGAGGCAAGTGTGGTAGACTGAATAATGAAGATAGCCATCCCTGTAACCTGTGAATGTTACCTTATATGGCAAAAAAGAAATTTACAAATATCATTAAGTTAAAATTTTTTAAATGGGGAGATTCTTCTGGATTATCAGAGTGGGCCATCAGTGCAAACACATGGTATTCTTACTTGACTACAGCAGAGAAGAAAGTGACAAGATTACAGAGATTGGCAATGCAGCCTTCAGAGTTAGGGAATGCTTTTCCCCAGAGCCTCCAGATGGAGAACAGTACAGCGAACACCTTGATTACTGCCCAGAGGAACTCCTCCAAGAAGGGAGAGAATGAATTTCTGTTGTTTTTAAGTCACCAGATTTGTGTTATTTTATTATTCTCTACTTGTAGTACATGTTATTTTTAAGATTTGTGATTTGGGGGTGGGGGGGCCACAAGATACCCACATTACAACCAAAAAAATAAACTACAACTGGATTAACAACCCGAACCTTCACTCATCTTTTGTCAGCTGTATCATTGTAGTTGGTAGAAAGCTAAGAAAAAAGATGGAGGTGATTTCTGTTTGCTTTTTTTTTTTTTTAATTGTTCATTCATTGACTCCTTAGCTTAAGTGATACTTTCAGTTGTCCTAGAGTTAAACTGTCAAGAATTGAGATAGTGTTGCTAGCTGAAAGCTTTAGGCACCTGAGTTTTATTCATGTAGCACGCAGTTCTACCAAACACATCAGACATTTTAACCTTCAGAAGAAGGTAAATTCATTTTATTCAGGCTGCTTTTCTAAAAAATTGCTCTGAGTTTTCTTGGACATTCTTACTGTTCTATCTTTCCTAATGTAACAGAAAAAAATTCAGTTCTTTAAAGATATATAATCTATCAAAAGAAACAATTTGTCAAGTGACTTTTTTTGGGATACATTTAGCTGCTGAAATTAGATAACATATGGTATTTAATACTCCTGGACCATTCAGGATCTTTTCTTTGAGGGTAAAAAGGGACTGGGGTAGGGATGATTGTCTCAGATTTAGAGCAAAGCTTAATTGCTTTTTCAAAGACTCATGTCTTTAATTATGAAGCAAGCAAACTGACATACATTTATTACACGGTAAAACCTTGCACCTTATCTAGTCTATCTTGTAGCAATTGC